ATTATATGAAAGAAACCTATAACCATTTCATTAGATGCAGAAAAAGCATTTAAGTTGTATGCTCACGTTGAAATAAACCTCTTAGTAAATTAGAAATAAAAGGGAATTACCTGATCTGAAATTTCTCCTATCAAAAGTCTATGAACAAATATATATATTTTTGTTTATATACATATTTATATATATAAATATTGTTATATATATTGTTTATATATATAGTTATATTTATACTGTTTATATATAGCTGTATATATACTGTTTATATATATAGTTATATATATTGTTTATGTATATAGTTATATATATATTGTTTATATAATAGTTATACATATTGTTTATATAATATATATATACTGTTTATATATGTAGTTATATATATTGTTTATATATGTAGTTATATATATTGTTTATATATAGTTTTATATATATTGTTTATATGTATAGTTATATATATTGTTTATATATAGTTATATATGTTGTTTATATATAGTTATATATGTTTATATATATAGTTATATATGTTGTTTATATATAGTTATATATGTTGTTTATATATATAGTTATATGTATTGTATATATATATGTTATATATATATTGTTTATATATATAGTTATACATATTGTTTATATATATAGTTATACATATTGTTTATATATAATTATATATATTGTTTATATATAGTTATATATATTGTTTATATATATATGTAAAGCATTACAGGAGTTAGCATTAAAGTCAGAGATACATTGTTTTACAACATTGTAATGGTGGTATTAAAGAATGTAGTATAATAATTAAATAAACAGGGTAAGAGAGTAAGTGATAAAGGTATTCTTAAATAAAACATGAATATAAACACAGGAAATACAATGTAATAGAAAAAATGATAGAAAGCATAAGAGAGTTTTGCAAGATTACTGCACACAAGGTCAAATTACAGAATTCATCAGTGCTGCTGCACACCAGCAATAATCATTTAGAATACTGGGCAGAAAAATTATTCCATTAAAAGATAACAACCAAAAAAATAGAGCTCCTAGAAATAGATATAATAAATGTACATGATATTGAAAGTAAATGAACAAATAAAATCCAGGTGAATTAAAGATTCAAATGTAAAAAAAGAAATATTGTGTAATTTTTGAAGAAATTATAAGATACTTTGTCTTTGGAATAGGGAATGATCTCTTAAAAATGAAAAAATAACAACTCACAGAATAAATATTAATAAATTCTGCCACATTAATATTAATTATATTTTTGTGAAAAATTTCTGTAAAAATGGAAAAATAGAAGGCACAAAAAGAAAGTGTTTCAATGTACATAAATTATAAATATTTAATATTGAGAAGACATAAAAATTTACACATTACTAATTTAAGGACAAGCCTAAAATCATCAAAAATACTACTTTGTAATTCTTAGAAAAGAAGTTCAAATGGTCACCAGTAATCACTGCAAGGAAAACTAAAATAACAATAAAAAATAATTTATCTTTTATCAGTTTGGCCAGTATTTAAAAGTCTGGCAATAGCAAGCGTCGGTCAGGACATGGAAAAGAACTACTCTAATTTGCTTGTAGAAAGATAAGTTGGTAGCACTTCTTGAACATGATTTTTTGATATTCTCATTTGGTTCAGAAATTCTACTTCCAAGCAACTTAAGGAGATACTCTTAAGAATGTTGAAAGTAAGGCCAAGCCTATAATCCCAGCACTTCGGGAGGCCAAGATAGGTGGATCACTTGAGGTTAGGAGTTGAAGACCAGCCTGGACAACGTGGTAAAACTCTGTCTCTACTGAAAACACACACAAAAAATTAGCCTGATATGGTGGCTCATACCTGTATTCCCAGCTACTTGGGTGAGTGAGGCAGCAGAATTGCTTAAACCCAGAAGGCGGAGGTTGCAGTTAGCAGAGATCGTACCACTGCACTCCAGCTTGGGTGACAGAACGAGACTCTGTCTCAAAAAAAAAAAAAAAAAAAAAAAAGAAAGGTGAAAGTAGAAGTATTTATAACAGCAATATTTGAAAAAATAGAAATATCCATTAATAGGAGCTGGAGAAAATGTGGTATAGTGATGCAAGGGACTATTTGATAATAAGTAAGAATGAAATAGATGCAGGGGTATCAATACATCTACATCTCAGAAACAATAGAAATTATATTTTAAAAAACAGAGCAATTCAACTTGTATGATTAGTACAAGTTGAATTAGAGCAATTTAACTTGTATGATTAGTAATAATATTAAGAGTAAAGATAGGCACACCATTCCTAAAATTTCATGGATGCACATATATGTCATCATTGTAGAAAAGCAACATTAGGCTGGGCATGGTGGCTCGCACCTGTTATCCCAGTGCTTTGAAAAGCTGAATTGGAAGGATGACTTGAGCCCAGGAGTTTGAGGCTACAGTGAGCTATGATCCTGTCACTCCACTCCAGCCCAGATGAGAGAGTAAAAATTCTGTCTCAGAAAGAAAATAATTATAATCATATATATTTTTTAAAATGGCTAGATGCTAATGTCTGAATGTTGATTGCCATTTGAGAGAATGAAAGGCTTAGTAGATATGGGTGCAGCAAGCTTTAACTCTATTTATAAGGTTTTATTGATTAAATAAAATCTGAAACAAACAAAAAAATTAACATAATATTTTAATTCTACACGTTAGATATAATGAGAAGCATCATTTTATTCTATGGATTTTCTGTTTATGTGACTCAATAAAAAGTGTTACAAAAACAAAAAGTAGTCTAACACCTACATAACTTACATGCACCTTTAAAGTTAAATTAATTCTACCATTACCATTGAATAGATTAACAGCTAAAGGATTCAAGAAATAATTCACATTGACTCCCACCCAGTCTCTTAGATTTCTTCTGACATACAGTTAAAAAAAATATTGAGCTGCTCCCTGGACACCTTTGTCTAAACGTTAACAATCCTACAAATAATTTTCTTTCTCTGAATCTTATTCCTTCCTAACCTGATGATCTTCAGTCATTTCAGCTCTTTAAAGCTGTCTTTTTCATCCTCCCAGTATACCAACTTGGTTAGGAGATGCTTTGAATTTTTTATCAGAAATAATTCTGGAACCTGGCACTTTGTTACCATTTGCATTGCACATACATTATTCAGAACGTAAATATTTAATATCTCTTCTAAATATATATGTAATAAAAATATATCATATAATTTTAATATATACTCTACGTACATGTACATTATGCATAAATACACATGTGCATTTACATTATGTCTAAATATATAATATAGCTACAGAATGTACATACACAAAGAAAGAGATGTCGATAGCCCAATTGTCTCTTTTTAAAGGTAAAATGACTATAATTATCATAAAAATAACATGTATTTATTTTGGTGCAAAGAAGAAAACTGGAATAATCTGTACACCAAAACGCCTATGACATGCAATTTGCCTGTGTAACAAACCTGCACATGTACCCTTGAACCTAAAATAAAAGTTTAAAATATAAAAAAAAAGAAGAAAGTAGAACCTCCCCAAATCTTCAGCATTCTCCTTCCAGAAATATTTTAAACTTTTGTTTGACATTATTAGTATTGATATGGCTTGTCTGTGTCTCCACCCGAATCTCATTTTGAATTGTAGTTTCTATAATCCCTGCATGTCATGGGAGGGACCCAGTGGGAGGTGATTGAATCATGAGATTCATGCTATTCCCTTGGCTATTCTTTTGGTAGTAGGTTTTCATAAAATTTGATGGTTTTATAAGGGGCTTTCCTCTCCATTTGGCTCTCATTGTTCTCCTTGCTGCTCGTATGTGAAGAAGGATGTGTTTGCTTCCCCTTCCACCATGATTGTAAGTTTCTTGAGGCTTCCCCAGTCAGGCTGAACTGTGAGTCAATTAAAACTGTTTCCTTTATAAATTACCCGTCTCAGGTATGTCTTTATTAGGAGTGTGAGAATGGGCAAATATATTTTAAAATATATAAATATGAAGATATCGATCTATCTATTTAGCTATCTCTATATTTAGATTTTGTAAAATAGGACTATACTAATATGACAACACTGTGTTAATAATGTAAAAGTACCTTCATTTTTAACTTTAACAAAAAACGATCTGCAGCAAAAATTAAAAGTTGCTGAATTTCAGAAAAATATTTGTTCAAAGGAGATTACTTTCAACAACTTTCTTTGCTACTGTTAATGAGAAAATTATGCAAATCACTAAAATATGAACTCAAGTGTTTTAACAACTTTAAACAGTATCTCTTAATTCCTGTTTTTCCCATTTGTCCATGTTTTAATGTTGGTATATAATCATTTGAAAATTATTAGCTTTTATTATATGTGCCCTTTGTTTTGCAGTGTAATTTTAGTGCTTTTAAAGTTTATATTTAAATTGATGCCATATTTGCCACCAGTGAGCATTCTCTATTTGTGAGTTTTTTATTTTGTATCATCACTTTTTGGATAGATAGCATTTTGTTATTTAGAAATGTTTTGCTCTTTGAGTTTGTGCTTATTGGTATTATATTTCCAAATTATTAAATTACATGCTATTTGTGAAAAATGCCTGCATGTGCATTTGTCTAAATAATCTCTTTAAAATCATTTAATGTGCTGTATGAATATTATAATTCTTTAATAAATTAGAATGTTAGAAATAATTTTGTTGTCTTTTGAACATAATGTAACCATTCCTCCTCTTCCTTTATTTAGAGTCAGTCTTTATGATACATTTCCTATGCATATTTCATTTTTATACTATTGTGTATAGTCTATATGCTTATAGAAATCATACTTGGTATTGGTTTCTGATTGGGTTTGTATGTCTTTTTAAAAGTGTATATATATGCCATGTTATTATACCTATCCTCCATTTAAAAAAGTTATTAACTTGTGTTTTGAGCTCAATCCATTTATACCATGTATATTGAACCATATAGCACTGGTAGCATACCTGTAACTACTCTATAGTACTTTTATGTGAATAGATATCTAAGCTGTTTATTCTGTTTCTCTATTATAAACAGTGTTATAGTAAGAATAGTTTAAGGTGTAACTTTATGCTTCTCTGAGCTAATTGCTTTAGGATAAGTACTTGATGTATTTAATAGTATTGCTGAGACATAGGACTTGAATATTATAATTTTTACTACATATGTCAAATTTCCTGTAACTTAGTTTTACTGGCTTACTACTACCAAACTATAATTGTGTATCTGACAATTTTCAAACACTTGATGTTGGTATTTTCTTTTCTCTGCAAACTCACAGCATCTGCTTTTTTTTTCTGTCTTTTTAGTAACAGCCATCCTGACTGGTATGAGATGGTATCTCATTGCAATTACTGTTGATGATAGTGTAAATTAGTTCAAACATTATGGAAAGCAGTATGATGATTCCTCAAAATGCTGAAAGCAGAACTCCCATTTGACCCAGCAATCCCATTACCAGTATATACTCAGAGGAATATAAATCATTCTACCATAATTACACATGCATATGAATTCATTGCAGCATGATTTGAAACAGCAAAGACATGGAGTCAACCTAAATGCCCATCAATGACAGATTGGATAAAGAAAATATGGTATGTACACACCATGGAAAACTATGCAGCCATAAAAAAAAGAAGGAGATTAGGTCTTTTGTAGGAACATGGATGGAGCTGGAGGCTGTTATTCTTTGCAAATTAACACAGGAATAGAAAACCAAATATTGCATATTCTGACTTAAAAGTGGGAGCTAAATGAAAATAACTTATGAACACAAATAAGGGAACAACAGATACTGGGGACTACTTGAAGGTGGAGGGTGAGAAGAGGGAGAGGAGCAGAAAAGATAACTGTTGGGTATTGAGCTGAATACCTGTGTGATGAAATTATCTGTACAATAAACGCCCATGACATGAGTTTACCTTTTTAGCAAACCTTCATATGTACCTCCAAACCAGAGTTTAAAAGGAAAACAGTTGATGTAAGAAGATACTAAAATTGTTGCTAGCCTAATTTATAAAGATTTTCTTTAAATTTGAATGTTGATCTCTCTTATATTTTAATACTTTTCAGACTTATTTGTTCCATTCTTGTTTCCATGAACAATAATATATGTGTGTTATATCACCTTTGTCATATGTATTATGCAAATTGCATTTTAATCTTCTTTATTCTCCATGTGTCTGTACAGCTGGTACAATTTGGCTGTGTCCCCACCCAAATCTCATCTTGAATTGTAATTCCCATAATTCCCATGTGTTGTGGGAGGGACCCAGTGGGAGATAATTAAATCATGGGGGCAGTTTCCTCCATACTGTTCTCATGGTAGTGAATAAGTCTCATAGGATCTGATGGTTTAATAAAGGGTTTCCTTTTTGCTTGGCTCTCCTTCTCTCTTGCCTGCCACCATGTAAGACGTGACTTTCGCCTTCCACCATGATTGTGAGACCTCTCCAGTCTCATGGAACTGTGAATCCATTAAACCTCTTTTTCTTACAAGCTACCCAGTCTTGGCTATGTTTTATCAGCACTGTGAAAACAGACTAGTACAATAGCTTTCTCAAGCCTTCTACTTTATGCCAGATTAACTACATTTTTTTTTTATTTTGATGCTTTGACGATGACTTTTATACCTGGAATGTTTTTATTTTGCCTTTCAGTGTATTCTTGGTTTTAAAAAGCCTCCTTTGTTTGCTTTATAATCTCTTCTCTGTAGCCTTAAATATCTCCTTCTACTCCATATTTTTTAAAGACTGTTGTCTGTACAATTTCTGAAATGATGAAGATTTGTAAAAATCATATTATCCATTTCTTTGGTTGAATTTGTGTAGTTTCCACCATGGTCTTTTTCTTAATAACATTTATATTTGAATGGTACTGAGTATTTGCCAAGTTCTGTATGGAGCAGTGGGCTGGGAGTAATCTGAGGCCGCCTACAGAACTGAGTCAAATCCCCTACCTTCGCCAAAACCTCTCATTAAATCCATTATGTCATTCGACTTTGAAACATACTTCCTTTTAGGTTTCAGCTGCCAGCATGGTTCCTAGTGAAACACCCTATATCTGGCAATTACTGCTTTATTCCCCATCCTTTGATCTTCTTCTTAGATTGGAGAGGATAAAAAAAAAGTTTTATTATCAGTTCTAACACTCCTGATACTCCAGTTTTGATCACTGTCTAGCATGGCTAGCCCTGAACATACATATTCAGTGATTATATATTTAGACATGTGAAAGTAGCCAAAATATCAGTTTCATGGCATAAGATGCACTAAGATCTATAGGCTATGACATAATAAATATTAGTATCCACTAATATTTTTATCACATATGCTGTTTTAAATCATTTTTATTATTGATAGTGCCCTTTTATTAGTGTCTTCAATCACATTTACCCACAAAATAAATAGTAATTATTTATTTTAAATCATTATTATTTTAAATCAATATTGTAAATTTCTGATTTAAAAAGGTTTACATCTGAACAGTTGTAAATATTTTAACAGATAACATTTTGTAATATTTGTTAGGAAATGTATCATTCTTCATTAGACTTTTAACATGGCATTAATCAAGGCAGAGATAAAACCAATGAATAAGTCAGTGATTCAATGTTATTAATTGTTACTATAAAGGGAGTTGCTAAACGAGAATTCAGCATATTATAGAATAAACAGACTGAAAAATAGGAGGAAAATGGTTTGGCATTCTGAAGTAGCTAAATAGACTGAATACTTGAATACTTTTGTTTAACAGATAATACTATTTTTTATTTTTTTTGAGACAGACTCTTGCTCTGTGGCCAGGCTGGAGTGCAGTGGTACGATCTGGGCTCACTGCAACCTCTGTCTCCTGGGTTCAAGCATTTCTTCTGCCTCAGCCTCCTGAGTAGCTAGGACTACAGGCATGTGTCACCACACCCAGCTAATTTTTGTATTTTTAGTAGAGACAGGGTTTCTCCATGTTGGCCAGGCTGGTCTCCATCTCCTGATCTTGTGATCTGTCTGCCTCGGCCTCCCAAAGTGCTGAGATTACAGGTGTCAGCCACCCTGGCTGGCCAACAAAAATACTTCCAAGTACCTTTTTGTGAAATTAAATTTTCTCTACCCAAGATAGCCCCAGATACTCTATTTTATTTTTAAAAACTCCAACAGTTTTTAATGCATTTTCTGAGCCCTTTCTTTGAGTGTGATCATGATCTCACAATTTAATACTAAGCCAACATTATGTAATTATTCCACAATGAACCATTCCCTGGGTGCAGCCATTTCCATTTTCATGAAGTCAGGCAGCCAGTGAGATGATAGAAAATAAAGTTTGGATAGCTTTTGAATAGCTAATCAGATGATATTTTGCAAAGCAGTTTCTTTCCTAATATAGCTCAAGATATGATATACTTAATTATTAAATTGCTATGTAGCTTTTTTCTGGCTGGGAAGTAGATATTTTGAAGTTTCTAGCTTGAAAATAGTTTATACTCTTGGTCAAGAGATGTATGTTTTATGCTGCATTCTTGTGCTTGACACAACTATCACTTATTTCCCAGGTGGTTTGAAAAATACCCTGGGAAGTTTTATTTTGTCTTTCATGTACTCAGCACATCTATTTTATTGGTATTGTACATGCATTTTTACCAACGTGCACGTGAATATTTTCCAATCCCACTGATAGAGATATTATACTCTAGATGCTTTGGAGATTGTATTTCAGATTAAAAATGATGTGATTTTAAAAGATCTGCTGTACAACATATACTGAATTGTGAACTTAAAAATTTGTTAAGAGAGTAGAGATCTCTCATGTTAAATGTTATTACCACACACACTATTAAGAGATGCAAAGGAACTTTTACCTTAATTACAGTAATAATTTCATAGATGTCCACATAAAAAGTATGTATTAAACACATGCTGTGTTTTTGTGTATCATACATACCTCTATGAAGTTGCTGAAAAAATTTAAAAAATAAGATGTCAGTTGAGGTAAATCTTTTAAATTGAATTTACACTTTTGCAGAGTGGAAATCATGACGTTTTCAGAATACACTTCTGTCTGTAAACACTGGGGCAACCCCTTTCCTGTCTTTTGAAATTTTTGTACAACTATATCACTTGCAACTTTACATGTCATATTTTTAGTTTTGACTATAAATTTCTAAATACAAATTTCTGAATATACAGATTTTCTTTGGGAGCTTTGAGGTTTAACAGCCCCAGACTAGACTGTTGAAGGGCCTCAGAGACTGGGTTTAGAGGTAGTAAAATTTCAGGCCTGTGGTTCTTATGGCTGTACAAGTTTTTCAATATTTAATAGGCTTCCAAGAAATCTCCTTCTAGTAATATGGTTGATCAGGTTATTCACCAACTCTTTCACTGAAAACAGCTAAAAATGGTGATTGAACTGTTGGTAAGTGTTCTTAAAAACATAAAACAAACAAAATAGCAAAGAAGCAATAAGAAGCCATCACGCTTAATCCTAGCTAAAAGCTAGACTTGTCAGGTCTGCTAACTATTGTTGGTGTTTTTATGTTTTCACTGGAGGCAAGGACTATGAATGAGAAATCTCAGCACTTGTGCATGGTGAAGGTTTGTTATGAGACCTTCTCTCTACACCTACTAATCTGAGAGCTATATCTTCTTTAGAACCAGGAGTAAATACAGCCCATCCACCACCTCCAGGGAACGAAGAAGCAAGTTATCCTAGTACTGAGTATGACACTACAAGTAAACCTCACCTATGAGCCCTTACGTGAATTTGAGGCAAATACATATTAGCAGAGTTTACAGTGGTCTTAGATGGCTGTCAGAAACAAATGTAAATCCTCTTTGGAAGAATATAGGTAATTCATCCTAGGTCTTAAAAATATCTTGTAAATAATTCTACTAGAAGGCTCAACATATTAAGGCCAAGTAGTATTACATACTAAGGAAGTTTGCCACTCAAATTAAGGGCTAGCATAAAAGCAGAGGATCTCAAAACATTTCAGGTGTTAATATTTTCAAATATAGATTACGGTATATTTTTCAAGTTAATATGAAAAAAGCAAACAAACAAATACTTTTTAAAAATTTCAAAGTAAGACTAATAGAAATCCACACTTAGAAATATATTGGTGAAATAATAGAACATAAAAGACAATTAGAAGATTTTCAAAGTCCTAGAAACCATTCACAATATGTAAAATGTAATATAATGTCAATAGGATACTAGTTGTACAAACAAAAACATATAGTGAACACTGTATAACTTTATTAACACATACAAATAGATCTTAATATGCAATGGCATGGAGAGGTCAATTGTCTCCAAATTAATTTCTAAATTCAATGCATTTCCATTCAATATACCAATGAAGTTTTTTTTTTTTCTTCTGTAGAAAATGGTGGTGCTTGTACCATTTATATGGAAGAAAGAAATTATAAAATAGCTAAGACAATGTTTAAGAAGGATAAAAAAAATGACAGGACTTTTCCAACAAGTTAGAGAGTTATCTTAAAGCCATAGCAATTAACATATTGTGATATTGATATAGTCATTTACAAATAGAGTAAAGGAAAATCTCGAGTAGCATGTCCAAATGCTTACCCACATGAGG